ATGTTTGCGTGTCTAACATTTAAATTTTTTGTAACTCTGCTTCTGCAGAACCCCAGAGAAGAGGAAGGTGCAGCACCAGGCAGCCATGAACATGTGGCTGGACAGTCAAAAACTGACCTGCCACAAAAAGCACATGCTGTGGGAGGTGTTTCTCCTCCATCCAAAAAGACTGCTCTAAGGCCCCGTTTACACTAGTGCGTTATAGTTTGAAAACGCATAAGTTTTGCTACGGTTACGCCATCCGTCCACACTACGCCGGAGTTCTCGAGCGCCGAAAACGGAGCTTTTTAAATACGCTGGAGAGGCTGTTTTCATTCTAAAACGCTGCTGCTCCGTCTCAGTGTGGATGGGGAAAGACGGAGACATCTGAAAACGGAGGCGGGGCTGCAAACGTTCGCCTATCTGATTGGGGCTTTTCCTCAATATTAAGTAGCCCACACACAGTTCAGTCTCGCATCCTCTTCTTGTAAGTTAAGACTTCGCAAGTTTGATCAAGGCTGCAGTCTCCCCCTTCTCAGTTTGATATGGAAAACATACCGAGGACATGGGTAAATCTTCAAAGGGAACAGTGTACTTTATAACTTCATTCACATCACCTTGGCTACGTTGTTTCACTTTCTCAACAATAAAATGTAAACATGATTTAAGGAACTTCCTATTTTCTTTTTAACATTAGCAACTTAACAGACAGCAGAAATGTTGAGGCGCCTTGCTGAATATATGAGCGTCATCTTCACTGTGTGGATATTTATAACAAAACGGAGCCTATAACAACTGCCTCCTTTCAATTTCAGTGAAAATACGAAACGCACCCTCTCTTTTGCTGAATATCAGTTTTAATAATCGATAATTATAAAAGTATAACATACAATAAGTTTATACATTGTAGGAAATAAAGGCAAGCGATCAGTCAATGTACCTGGATTAATCATTAACTTATCTTTGCGCTTAACCAAAACATGTTACCCGTGAACAAGTAACTTAATAGATTCCAATGATCAAAGTCAGGGAATTGGCCTATGTCGTTAGATAAAGACAACAACATGAATGAAATATCACGTTTAGCAAATATAGGGAGATTAGATCCAGCGGGAGATGCTTGATGAGCAGTCCGACAAGCAGAGCTCTCATCTGGGTAGAAATGCTGGAGCGCTTGCCCGAGAGTGTGTGTGTGGTCACGTGATGTGCATTTTCAGCGTTTTGGTGTGGACGGAGAGCTGTTCAGAAACGCTGGGTAAAACGCGAGTGTGGACGCGGATCGTTTTCATTCTACAATAATAAGGCTATTGAATAAGGCTAACTCACTTTCCCAACGTAATGTCGTATATAAATTCCTAGAAATTAACCAGATGCATTACGACTCCCAAAAATATATTTAAATCTGTAAAACTTCGGTTGAAGTGAGATAAGTCAGGGCCAGCGAACACATTGGAAGACCACGCCTCTGGTGCTGCAGGTGCGCTCATGTTCTTGGCTTGGCATAACCTCTTGTCGGGGGCAAGGTAGAATTCAATAATTGTGGTGTTTTCCATACATTTCCCCATAGTGGAAGCTTCCACATAGCATCGAAGTTCCCCTCCCAAAGGAGAATGCTCGGGGGATGGAAATGCTATGTTTCTTCACCACAATGATTTCCCCTTAGCTGTTGGATATGAAAGGCTCTTCAGCTAGAAAAGGATACCTCAGCTTGGCACACACTGTGCTTTTATTCGAAATTTATTGTAAGTAGCGCCAGCTGTCCATGCTGAAGCGTCCTTCTCATTTGCATTTCATTGACCCATTTATATACTCTTTCAGATGATACTGGATACTGACTAAATCCCCATAGTGGAAGTTTCCACATAGCATTTCCGTTTACCCCCATGGAGAATGAGAGTTATTTTAGTAACTGTAGCATTATATAGCCTACATTTTAAAAAAAATATCTGTAAATTCTTTGATTCATGCTTTTGGACTTATTTATGCTTTTGAATTGCATTATAGGACCTTTATCTTTTCTACAAAAGCTTGGGTTGTTGTAAATCATTGAACAGAGACCTGGTAATAAGCTATAAGTGCATTTTCTGTTACTTTACAAACTTAGTTCTCTATATATTATTTCTTAAACAATTTCTAGTCTCAACCTACTAAAATGTCCATAAAAGTCACTCTGTTAAAACTGCAGAGTTGAATTTTTTACATCAAAAGTTAACAGAGCAGAGATAAAATTCCAATAATGCAATTCACAACCATAAATAAACAAACAAAAAAAAACACCTGTGCATCACAAAACATGGAACCTGTTAATTAACAGATATTTTACAGTGTATGCCCGTGTCATTTACATGCTCACGCATGTTTTTTCTTGTGCCTGTGCTGTCACTGCTGATTCATGTTGTTACAACCACTTTTTGTCTTGGGGAGTTGGGTTGCACGTTTAACTGAGGAATTGGTTGGGTGAAAAGTGAGGAAATGTGAGGGTGAATTTGTGAGTGAGATATTTACAATATAATCTATTTAAAAAAAAATAAACAACAAAAAGTAGAAAGACTGGCTATGGGTGGCGCTAAATAAAAGAACCAAACAGTCTTACTTGTATTCACAAAAAATCCCATCTAATTTAATAAGCAAAAGTTATGAAAGAGTAATCTTCAGCGTCAAACAGATTCCTATTTTTTTATGAAATATGTAATTTGTATTTTACAAATTAGTCTTATTTTGTTTTTCTTTATTGCAAATTATTAGGAAATATTTTTAGTACATCAAAAAGTGTGGTTATGATGACTAGTTAATGTAGAAAAAAAAATGACTGCTTAAAATGTCACTAAAATGCAGTATTTAAATATCATAGTTAAATAGAAACTGAGGCATACAACTGCAAAAAGGTCCACTTTTTGAGAAAAAAAGAACCACCGGCAATTTTCCGGAAAGGTCTGTATGTGTGAACAGGCCCTTTTTGAAAATAACGGTAAATTCGTTCTAGCAATTTTCTGGAAAGAGAAGTTGTAACATTGCTGATAATTTGCCGGAATTATGCTCTGTGTGAACGCAAATAGAAGATTGCTGGGAAGAGTTCATTCACGTCAAGAACGCGTTAACATGAGATATCTACTCCAGCCAATCAGAACCCTCAGACACGTTCACATCTGCTCGGTTTATGAAAATAAAAGCTTTTGAATATTTTTCCAGACACATTTTGCTGCTAGATGTTAATTAGATAACGTTTCTATGTTCCTTCTTAATGCCAAATGTGTAAATAATTCTCGATAAAATGCTCATATACTGTAAGAATTATAATCTTTCCCCTGCTTTTCCCATTGTACAGGTGGGCCACTTGAGGCTTACATTAATTTTGTCTGGCCTAAAGGAATACCACCAGTGCTGTATAACTGCCTAAAGTGGCCCACATTCATATGCTATCTGCATACTGTGTACACATCAGATGTTTTAACCTCCTCTGAAGAAAGGCAAATCCCTTGCAAAGTCTATCAAAGAGATCTTGTCACTCCTTAACCATGCTATCAAAAGTCCATGTCTTGTAGTATCTGCTCCAGAAAAGGTTTCCCCAGAGCCTGCTCTTGCTCCTGAGAGAGCATCTCCAGGGCTTCTATTCCAGAGAGTGCAGCCCCTGAGCACAGCGCAGAGCTGACTTCAGCCCCTGAGTATGTTCTAGAGATGGCTTGAGTCCCCACGGGCTGTGAACTGAAGATATCAGTGCCAGAGCCTGCTCACATTCTTAAGACAACCTTCATAGAGCCCGCTTCCGCTCTAGAGAGAGCTAATGCAGTACCTCCTCCTGAGAGGGCAGCTCCAGGGTCGGCTGTAGAAAAAATAGCCCCTGAGCACAGCACTGTACTGGCTTCAGCCCCTAAGTGTATTCTGAAGAGGGCTCCAGTTGCCAACTGCTGTGAAAAGAAGACTTCTTTCCAACAGCACTGTACAGTGCTGACTTTAGTTACTGAGTTTATCCAGAAGAAGACTCCAGTACCCAAGCACTATGTAACAAAGACTTTTACTAAAGAGCTCTGTTTAATGTCGGCTCCAACCCCTGAACTCTGTCCAGTCCCTGATCCAGCTATGTTCCCAGAACTTCGGCCTGTAATTATTCCTGTCCCTAATCCAGTAATTTTCGCTGAACTCTATTCTTTCTGTCATGGGTACTGTCATAGCTCTTCCTTATCTGTGTTTTCATCTTTGTATGTATCTTTGTTTGTGTTATGTCGGAACACATGGCTCAGCCTGTATTTTTGTTCACCATGCGTTCTGTTCCTCCCTCCTTGTTTCTAACTGCCACGCCTCCTTATTTAACCCTCGTCTAGTCCTCGTTAGTCTCAGTGTTTACACCTGGTCCTCTTGTTCTTTCCTCCCTCTATAATGAGCTCTCTACTCTTATGTCTTCATCGGTTCATTGTTGCTCTCAAGCAGGACTTTCAAGCTCGGTCTTCCTTTGTCTGCCTGCTCCACCAAAGACTCCCCAGCACTACTCAATTCCTCACCGTTGGACTTTCACCAAAACCACGCTAAATATCACATTATTGTCAAACAGCCCTGTTCTCATTCCACATTCTCCTTCCTCTAACCTTGACAAAAAAAAATTATATTTATAAATCTTTTTAATTTTATCAAATTTACCTACTTTTTAGACTCCCTGAAGTTGGCTGAGCAGTAGGACATGGCAAAATCACATCCATTCAAAGAAAGAATATGGCAAAAAATGACAAACATATTTCAAAAGACATCATTCAACCTGCATGTGTGTAAAGGTTTAACCAATTATATTAAAACATCAGAATTTCATTATTTCACATGTTTTTATAGGACTGATAAAATCTTGTGGGACATCAAAGGCACTTAATAGTGATAATGACCCTTATGTGGTGGATGGTTCCTTCTCTCAACGTTCTGCATTTAAAATCCTTTAAGGCAGAGCGATTAATTGATTATCCCTAATATATCACATGTATATAGTGATATTGAAATAAATAAAATTTGGTGTTGTGCTTTTTTGTTTCTGTCATTAGTCTATGAGTCCTGATGTTTTTCCACGCCTCTCGTGTTTGGAGGATCAGGACTGTTATGAAGGAGAAGAACCATTTGTTCCAACCAGTCAATCTCCAGGTCAGTATGACAGCTGATTAGCACTGAAACATTTTAATGCATTTTTAAGCTAGAATTTTAATTCTAAAATATACTTCATTCAAAATGCTAAATTACATATTTTTGCCTGATAAAGTGGACTCAGAAAGTAGTCATTATGAGTCATATGGTGAAGAGGAGGAGGAGTTTGTGAAGGACAGAGCTCATTATGTCCATTGGAGGTTTTCTCAACCCACCATACGACCCGATTCAGAGTCACGCATCTGTGGATATCTTTGGAGGAAGAAATGGTTGGGTCATTGGTCCCGTCAGCTCTTCATTATTAAGCAAAACTCACTACTGGTAAGCCTCACTAGTTAAATCAGTAATAAAAAAGATGCCTTTAATCCAAACTGTTTTCTTTAATCTAAACAGGTTTCCTTTTATGTGCTCTCAGTTCAGAGGTCAGAGAAGGGCAGAGTAGCCAAAAACTCCAGTAAAAGCATATGTGCTCAAGTTTATTAAAAACACTGTAAAAAAAAAGATGCATCAACATTAACTCTTTCCCCTCCAGCATTTTTAATAATGTTGCGAGCCACCGCAGAGCATTATTAAGGATTTTTACCTAAAATTGACAGCCATCAGAATATGTCTGCTAGGAATATGTGTAACACTTTATAATTACTACACACTATAAATCATTTATTAAGCATTAGCAAATTGTGAATTCATTATCCGTTAAGCATTAACTCAACATAATTAAACGTTAGTAAGCAGTTTATAACTGCAGCTACAAATGCTCTTTTCTTGACTTATAACCACATTTAAAATGTGCTTAATAATTGTATTTTCATACTTAGTAAATTATTTATTTTTCATTACTAAATTAAGTATTGCATTATTTAAAAACCAGTTGTATTTAAGAGTAGTTGGGGGTTTTTAGGATCATTTAGAAAGAGTTAGTAAATGATTAATAAACTATTGAAATCAACGTTTATAATTCTTATTATTCAGGCATATACTAATAGTCAACTAATATGTTAATAAATTCTTTATTAACTCGACTTCATGCAGTTTTGTGACCTAAGTGAGGACTATTCATGCTTTATAAATCCTTTATAAATGACAAATGAAGGCTCAGAATCAAATGAACTATAATCTTTGCAATCTTTTCTAAAATGTAAAATTACTGTAAAGTTTAAACATTGCTGAATAACAGGAGTGTCAAAATACAACAAAACTGGATAAAACAACAATATAATAATTAAACAATGAAATAAAATGTAATGTTTAAACTCTACAGTGATTTTATTTTAGATCAGGTTGCAAAGATTTAATTTTTATTTGAAGTACAGTTTCATTTGTGTATCTTAAATTGAATATGAATGAATAATGTCATTTTTCCTGTTTAGAATTTCACTGAGCCTTTATTTGTCATTTATAAAGGATTTATAAAGCATGAATAGCCCTCACTTTAGATTAGGTCACAAAACTAGGTGAAGTTGAGTTAATAAAGCATTTATTGACATACATAGTAACCATTAATATATGCCTGAATAATAAGCAGTTATAAACTGCTTATTAATGTTTATTAATGTTGAGTTAATGCTTAACGGATAATGAATTCACAATTTGCTAATGCTTAATAAATGATTTAAGTGTGCAGTTATTATAAAGTGTTACTGGAATATGTGACCATAATGTATATCATATTATTGAAACAAGCATCTGCTTTTAAACAAAATCAAGTCATTTCATTCTATCTTCACAAGTTCATGTTTTATAACCGTTTGAATGCAGTTTAATTAAAAATGTAACATTGCTGACAAACTGATATAATACACACACACAAACATGTGCACAGACACACACACATTACATTGTGTGTGTTTTAATTACATTGACATTCTTAGAAATATTCCAGCAGCCTATTTGTAAGACATTAAACGTATGTCTTTATCATCAGGGTAGGGTCTCGAAGTAATGCAAATGCTAAGCTGTGCCTTTATCTCCATGACAATATGTGTGATACTCTCAGGCTGATTGGATTTGATTTTTTTTTTTTAAATTATTAGATGGTGAGCAGAAAAGACATGTAAAGACTTTACCAAATCGTATTGTTTCCAAACTTTTTATTGCATAGTGATTTTCTAAGACATCTTTTTGTCTCTTAAATCTTTTTGGTTGCTTAAAATATTGACAGTCCTTTCTAGGCTTAGTGTGATAGTCAGTTTTGATGGTGATACTGGTGTTAAGCTGCAACTCCAATTTTGTCACTAACTCACCATGTCATCATTTTGATATACATTATAGTAATAAAATAATTTATTAGTATTAAGTTTTGCTGTTGAAAAGACACCAGTAAAATAAACTAAATGGGTTGGATCAGAGATATGATGCAGATTTAGTTAATCATGAGTAATCATGACTAACGCCTAGTACACATTGCATGACTTTGACCTTTGTTAAATCGCTTTGTTGATTACATTATTTTTAGTTTTTTAGTTTTATTCATAGTTTTGTTAGATTTTTGTTTTTAAGTTGTTGTGGTGTTAACAATGCAAATGTTAAAACCAGTGGATCGTTTACATATAGTGATCACACACTACATGATCTGAAAACAAAACCCAACAACAGCCCCCAAACCATAGCAAATAAAATGTTCAGAAAGACCATTTCAGAAAGAGCCTTTAGAGAGAGGAAGAATCCCATTTCTTAAATGTGGGATATGCAAAAAATGGCGACGGAAAGGTAAATACTTCCCATGCAAATGTTGTGATCTATTTAAAACAAACTTGCCCAGCTGTAAGTAAACTACATTAAATGATAACTTAATTGAACCACTTTAGATCACAACATGTGTGTTTATCATTAGCAAGACAACTTTCAGTGTATATGTCATGTACTTATTACCTTGAGTTACTCTGAATGTGCAGCAGGTGTCACAGAGAAAATACCACATGCAAATGCTGAGGTAGAATTAAATATTTTCTGCTCCAATATACTGTAGGTCTACACCTACCTGTAAAAAACATATACAATACGCTAATTACTATGTAAAATTTAAAATGAATACCCGGAAGCGCTGCAGTAAGAAACATCCTCCATCCAGATCAGTTCAATCATCAGTTGTTAGGTAATCTGCACAGAAAATTTATGCATACACATAACAGAGCCCTCAAGAGAGTGAGCCTTCGCCCTCCTTGTTTCTTCAGTGCACCACGATGCAGATGGGGACAATTCGATTCTGTTTAGTAATAATCATAACCTGTTTTTACGTACTGACGTCATTTATCTCCTATGCGCGGTGTCGCAGTAGAAAACTATGGAGGCAACCATTTTAATCAAACTTACTTACACTTGTGAAATGAACAAAAAACTGGTCCATGAACTGTGCTCTGTAAAGTTCCTGTCAAGCTCTGACAAAGTCCCATACATTATTAGCCTTTTCTGGTCCAACCCACAACTCAACTTTGAGAATAAATTAACGTCGTTATTTTTATCGCCAATAAGAGTCTTGTGTTAACGCAGCATGTTAACGTCGATAAATGCTTACCACTAGTATTAACACAGGTCAATACATTGAGCAATACATTTTGACTTTATTCAAAGAAATAAATAATTAATAAATAACTTATAGAGATGTACTGAAATCTTAAGTGACTCATTCTAGATATTAGATTAAAAAGAAATGTAAACTTCAATACTATTTAAATTTATTGTAAATATAACGCATTTAAGTGCATTTATCTGTTTTTGCTGAGAACTGTTTGTGTTATTGCAATCATTGAAATACATACTTGCATCTTCCCTGGCAGTGTTTTAAATGTGCTAAAGATCTGCACCCTCTGCTGGACCTAAACCTCATGGGTTGCAACGTGGTCTACAAATTCAAACAGAGTAAGAAGATTCAGCACAAACTGAAAGTGGTGGCTGGTGCTGAAACAGTCATCTTGGGCTTCCAGAGCAGTATACAGGCCAAAGAGTGGAGGAAGGTCTGACCAAGTTTAATTTTAGACCTGCTTTGAAATTTAACATAAGTAGCTACAGGTCTTTTTTTCCATATTGTAATATATGTTTGAAAGTAACAGATTTATATATACTGTATATAAGTTGTTTAGGTTTGATGTTGATATTTAATTTAAAAGTGGAGGGAGATAAACATTAGGTGGAAAGTGGGTTTAAAAAACACTAAGTCATTAAAGAGGTCCTGTATGCATCAGCCTTTCCATAAGTATGCGTTTTCCATTGGAAGGACCATTTAATGTTTTAGGTCAAAACACATGCGCAGATGAGTAGTTTACAATATAATCTAGAAATAACATAGCATACTTTTTATTTCATCCTTTAAATAATTTGTCCTCTGGTATTTTCCCTTCTTTCTTATTTGAAGGTTATAGAAGATGTTAGTGGCTCCTCTTATTATGAGCCTGGATCCCAAACCTCCTCATCAATCCTGAAGAATGAGAGACTGGAATCTTGCAGTGTAAATAACACATACTTACCATGAGACCATTACAGTTTCTGCTCTCTTATACTCATTATACTATCAATATATTTGGTGCAACAAGAAATTAACAATATATATTTCTCTGATATGTTACTGTACTAGTTTTTGTGGTTAATAATCTGGATAAATTTTCCTCAAATTCCAGTCTCTTTCATGAAGGTTCTGCTGGTCATGAACTGAAGTGACTGGCAAAGTATTGTGTTCCTATTTATGACAATTTGTAAACAAAGCAGTTATTTAGCCATGATGGAGAACATTCTGTTCTTGCTTATTCCAATTCTGACAATCTCCTTTATTTTGTAGTTAAGTACTATCCTCAATACAGACTCGGATGAAGAGAAAATGTCCAATCTTCTATCTGCAGCTGGCTGTGTAGAAGATAAAGACAAAGACAGAGGTAAGACAAGACAGTGCTTGAAGGACAAAAGGTTGAAATCAACAAAGATTGGCTGCATCTTAAGTTGCATGTTTCCCTGGTATACAGGTAAAAAGTATTTGATTTAAGACACTATTTGTGAATCAAAAAGTGAGAGCCATGTACTATTCTAGCAATAGAAAATACTTTTTAAATAGCAGCGTTTAGGTTCAATTCCAGTGAAGCATGGTTCCACAAAACAAGTAAAATCAGTGTAAAGTCATGGTAAAACAATGTGACCATAATGCAAATTTCTCTTGTTTGCTTTTTAAAACAATATTGATTGGGGTTAGGTCAGAGTGGCACAGTGGATAGCACGACCACCTCACAGGAAGAAGGTCGTTGGTTTGAGCCTCGGCTGGGCCAGTTGGCATTTCTTTGTGGAGTTTGTATGTTCTCCCCTTGTTTGCATGGGTTTCCTCCGGGTGCTCTGGTTTCCCCCACAGTACAAAGACATGCGGTACATGTGAATTGAATAAACTAAATTGGCCGAAGTGAATGAATGTAAATGCATGAGAGTATGGGTGTTTCCCAGTACTGGATTGCAGCTGGAAGGGCAGCCACTGTGTAAAACTGTGTTAAATTGGTGATTCATTCCACTGTAGCGACCCCTGATGAATAAAGGGACTAAGCCAAAAAGAAAATTAATGAAGTTTAGGTCAGGTGATCGCAAAGTGAAATGTACATATATGTGCGTGTATATGAAACATATGTATAAGAGACAAGCCTTGTATTCTCATGGAATTGTACAAGAAAGGCATGTAAATTATGTGTATAACAAAATACATTCTACATAACATATACAGACAACACCCTCTTTAGAAACCTGCAGCAAAATATAACCAGAGTAAAATCTTTTATGTTTTGCAAAAAAGTAGCCCGGGGCATGTTTTTCTATTGATGTTACCTGGATTAGTAAATGGACAACCATACAAATATAAAACACAGTGAAATTTGTTGCTATGATATTTTTATTATTATTTTTTAAAAAAGATAGTAGCCGAACACTAATACACTAAAGCAATGGTTGTCAGCATTTCTGCTGAAATTGTAAAAAGTATTTAAACATTGGCAAAATACACTGCCACTGTAACCATGAGCATGTGCATACAGTTGAAGTCAGAATTATTATCCCCCCTTTTTATTTATTTATTTATTTTTTATTTTTTAAAATGTTTAACAGAGAAAATTTTCACAGTATGTCTGATAATATTTTTTCTTCTAGAGAAAGTCTTATTTTTTTTATTTCGACTAGAATAAAAGCAGTTTTTAATTTTTTTTTTAATCCATAGTAAGGACAAAATGTTCAGCCTCTTTAAGCATTTTTTCCGATAGTCTACAGAGCAAACTATTATTTTACAATAACAATTGCCCTAACCTTCCTAGTTAACCTAATTAACCTAGTTAAGCCTTTAAATGTCACTTTACGCTGTATAGAAGTGTCTTGAAAAATATCTAGTAAAATATTATGTACTGTCATGGCAAAGATGAAAAAAATCAGTTACTAAAACTATTATGTTTAGAAATGTTGAAAAAAAATCTCTCCGTTAAAAGAAATTGGGGAAAAAATAAACAGGGGGGCTAATTCTGACTTCAACTGTAGCTATACATGCAAATATACCATGCACACAAATTATTGTCTGCACTAAAAATGTGTGTAAAATCTTCTGTCTCTCTCTCTCTTCGTCTCATTGTCCTTTAGTGGCCTTTCTAAAAGTGTTGATGAACTGTCAGTGGCAGAGTTTATGGTGTTGGGTGAAGGACGGGAATCTAAAGATGTATCGTGATGAGGCTTCTTTAGAAATCCCTGAGTACACAGTTCACCTCAGAGGGAGTGATGTTCGACCTGGCCCTGATACAGAACATGCTTACCGCATTACCATCACACAGCATGGAGACCACGTGGTTGTACTAGAGGTAAGGTAATGATTTAAAATCCTCTTTTTTTCAAAGAGCTTTAAAGTATAGTTGTATTGAGATTTCACACATTTCACCAAATACAAAACGATTATTTAATAATAATAATAACTCCTTACATTTATATAGCGCTTTTCTAGACACTCAAAGCACTTTACTCATTGGGGGGAATCTCCTCATCCACCACCAGTGAGCAGCATCTAGCTGGATGATGTGACATATTGCGCCAAACCGCACACCACACACCAGCTGATTGGTGGAGAGGAGACAGAGTTATATGGGATATATAATTATTGTATATATTATTATAATTATTGGATATATAATTATATAAAAGGATATATAATGTTATATATAATTATTATATGGGAATGAGCGGGAGGCCATGATGGTGAGAGGCCAGTGGGCAAATTTAGCCAGGATGCCGGATTAATTACTCTTTAGTCTTTAACTAGCTTTATCTACTCTTTAGTCTCAAATATTAACATCGTTTGGATGTTATCATATTGGTATTGATATTAATATTATTATTTTGATCTCACTTTACTTAAAGAGCATATTATAGGTTAGACACCCCAGTGAGTCAATGTGCGTAAGAATAACGTAGGAACTAGATTTTTTGTTTTATATATACGTTAAAGTTTATTATTAAGCAATCTGGAGTCGTTTTTAGTCACAGAAATTTACTTCCACATCTGCAAAATCGCCAGACCGGGAGTGACGTCGTAAGAGGCAGATAGCACATATACACAGTATGAAGACAATTGATCGCGGTGTGCATTTGGTTGGCGAGATAAGATATTCTGAGATATTCACACAAACGATAGACCACAGCCATACAATTATAAGCCTGTGGACAGACCAGCAGACAGAACAGCAGTCAGAGAAGTGTGATTGAACTGTATTGTGAGGAGAACAGAGCAGGTTCATGGTGAGACCAGTGGCTTAGACAGATATGTAAGATAACAAAATCTTATCTGGCAAAAGCAAAGCTAGTATTAATCATCTTTAAGTATTAATACTTACCAGTAAGAGAAACTAATGAGCATTTAACCACATTATGAGTTATGCCACATTGACCCTATTTTTTAAATGTAGATAAGTAAATACAAAACACAAATAACAGAGAACGCCTGGAATAATGCAGATACATGTAAACAAGGTACTTGAAAAATCTTTTTATTATACAAACGGTTTTCAGAGCTTTTTATAAAAAAAAAATACCATCAAATATAAAACATTTTAAATAAGTTTTTAAATATGTGCCTTTTTGTCAGTTTTTTTTTTTTCATAAGGTATAAGATGATCCGTATCGGATCGCATTTTTGCAAAAAATACATAAAAAATACAAATACAGTTTTTACTGTATGAAATATTTACAAAGATTTGATCAAAGATTTGTGATCTGCAATTATGGTTAAATAAACTTCAACCCCAATTCAAGTTCAAATTCTAATGCAACTCAAGTTCAAGTTTTATTTATATAGCACAAAACTATATAAACAATAGTAAATATTAGGGGGAGGGGACAAACAAACCTTAAAGGGAATTTATACTGGCCTCCTGAGATCTGTTCTAGACTACAGAAATCTAGTGTATGAATCTGCATCAGCTACTTCATTCAAGAAATTAGATATTATTCAAAATAAAGCTCTTCGAGTCATCCTAGGAGCAGTTAAGAAGACTCCAATAGCAGTAATACTGATCAAGTCTGGAGAAATGCAAGTGTATTTAGGAAAGGAAAAACTTGCACTTGCCACTTAGATCAATCTGCAAGGACAAAAAACTGACCACCCTGGGAAATTTGAAATAAAACAAGTAAAGGATTTGCATGGAATATAGAAAAACTATGTGTGAGGCAAATATTGAATGTAAACAATTTGCACCTGTAGTTGTGACTCCCTCAATAGCATACTGGATAATAAACCCACCAAATTTAGGGACATATGTGATGAAGTTAAAGTTTGTAAAACAAAACATAAGAACAGAATATTATGCATTTCTCCAAGTGCATACAGATGGGTCAAAAAACTTAAATACGGATAGGACAGAAGCTGTAATATACATACTAGAATTTGAAGATAGCAAGGCAAATAAGATAACAGTTGGTACATCAATATACAAAGCAGAAAGGATAGCAATTATCATGGCAATAGAGTGTAAAATGTACTCGGATCAAAATGTATCTGATCCTTCACTAAATTGAGCAAAATTTACTCAGCAGCAGAGTTAAAGTTAATGAAACAGTGAAGGGACTAGTTTAGCGATGATTTGAGCACTGATGACAAACAACTGTTTTTAATAAGCAGAAACAGAAGAGAAACACAACTACATCTACCTTTAGACACAGCCTTAGATGAAATAAACTGAAATATAACACATTGAATCTCAAAATCAGAGGATGGTTAAGCAACTCCAATCAACTTATACGGCACGTTTTTACGCAGCGGATGCCCTTTCAGCCGCAACCCATTCCTGGGAAACATCCACACACACACTCATTCACACTCATACACTACAGACAATTTAGTCTACCCAATTCTCCTGTACCGCATGTCTTTGGACTGTGGGGGAAACCGGAGCACCCAGAGGAAACCCATGCAAACACAGGGAGAACATGCAAACTCCACACAGAAACCCCAACTGACCCAGCCAAGGCTCGAACCAGCGACCTTCTTGCTCTGAGGCGACAGCACTACCTATAAATATATTAGTGCTGTCAATCGATTAAAAAATTAACTAATTAATCACACTTTTTTTTTTAATTAATCGCAATTTTAAACTTTTTTTTGGAAAATTAATCACATTTAAAAGACGGAAACTTGTAATTTTGGCTATTCAAATGTAAAATTAATGTAAACGCAAGACAAAAAAATTTTTAATTCAAAATATAATTGTTTATTTGTTTTTTATGTTTAACTTGTAACACAGATTTCTTCATGTAAACAACATACCCACAATAAACCATCAAGATCCTGGCTTGACAGCCATATTTATTACAGAAATTAAAACACAGGCATGTAAATGCCATTTGATATCAAAACAATCAATGCCATTAAAGAAAAAATTGATTTCCAAGTTGGATTCTAAGTGGACTGCAAAAAAATGCCAAAATACAGGCATTGCAAACATGGAAAATGGAAAATAATAATAATAATAATAATAATAATAATAAAGTATTGAATACAAACAATTGTACTCATTCTAAAGTTATATTGCTCTGAGTTGAGAACATTAATTATAAAATGACATTCATCCAGTTGCTAAGAGGGTCCAGTCTGTTGGACACATGTGGACAATGTGGACCTTTTTTTTTTAATGATGTAACCTGAGAGTGCAACGCAGTCTCACAGCAATTCATAACTTTTTGATTTAGGGGTTACGGACAACAACGTTTAGGCAGGTTTGTTGCTAAGAAACACACGCACGCACAGACATAGTCCAGGGCCGTGCACAGGGGGGTGGCCCAGTGGCTAAGGCCACTGCCCCTCTGCCCTCATTGGCTGAGGTGGCCCTCTCAGGAGGCACTTGCTCTTCACTTTGCGATCGCGTTGAGAACCTGTCCCTGTAAGGGTCTGTGCACGGGCCTGACACAGACACACACACAAAGAGGACAGGGCAGCCAGAGCGACTCCCTTCAGATTCAACACGCAAGATCGCGTTCATCAAATTTGCATTCTAAAGTATGGTTGTATTTCACAAGGATTCTGACACAACGCGAAGCAAACACTTTCATTTTGTATGGAGAAAACATGTCAAACTAAATGAAACATTGGAGGGCGCATGCTGAAATGCAGAGGACTGCACTTTCTTTGACAGCTCGCGACTTTACCTAACACTTTCTGAGTACATTTACATAATACTCTGATTTTAATATGATTAAAATTATACTCTTATTAAGAGTCTACCATGTAAGCAGCAATTTTTTATTACCTTAAAGGACCACCGAGTCACAAAATGCATAGGTTTTTCTTTCCGTTCGCCATGCAGTATCAAATTACATTAAAACAGAACTCGAAAGTTAAAAATGAAACACCCGAAAGTTAATTCTCAATAAATCACATGGATTTTAATCCAAGTCAGAGATTAGTTAAACAGGTTATGAGTGAACCTGCTGCTGCTGTTTGAAGTCAGCTGTAGTTTTGTGTTTATCTTCTGTTTATGCTTATTAACAGCAGATGTTCATCATGAGTGCTCGGTCATCGCTTAATTCTTTCACTGTCTCATTAACTTTAATGCTGTGGTCACACTAGAGTTTGAGCTTGCGAAATTCTGTTGTAGGCCGCTGCGAAAAGGGGTGGGATTAAACAGATAATTAGACATTTAAAAAAGCGAGCGATTGGCCAATAATTAAAATTTCTGTCCAGAGAGATCATGTTTTGATCCTCGATTGGTTAAACACAGTCAAGTGATGCACTTTTTGCAGGTCAGAGTTTACCAAGCTTGAACTTTGCCACACAGTGAACTGCAGGAACTTGGCGCACAAACTTGCATTTTGGTCTGGATATGAATGAAAGTCTATGGGGAGAAAAGTCCAGTGTGACCGCAGCTGTACTCTGCTGCTAAGTAACTTTTACTCAATTTAGAGAGGGACCAATTACACTCTGAACTAAGTAAATTTAACTTTTTTAATTTTAGCATTTTTGCTGAGAATAAACATGCCGGCATGCATACATAACTGTCTGATATGCAGCAGAGACTGCATCTGTCTGAAAGTGCATTGTGTCTGCAGCCACTGTGTTGGATATGGACCAATAATTGCTTTTTTAAATGTCTAATCATCTTGTTTAATCCCACCCCTTTTCGTAGTGCCATACAACAGAATTTTGCATGCACAAACACTAGTGTGACCGCAGCTTGATACTGAAAAATATTCTATTTAGATACTGTTAAACAAATTTCCATGACTTTTCCAAAACTTTTTGGGTTTATTTATTTTTCCCAAACCTTTCAAGGCCTGGAAAATGCCATGTCAAAATGATGATGGTATGAACCTGGTCTGTGTAACCATCAATATCTGTTGATGCCCACAAAATAAAAATCCATTATTTAAGTAGACCCAAAGAAAAAACTGAACAAATCGTCAATTAGCCTAAACAATGATTAATTCAACGTAGTTCAAAGGAACCAAAATGGGTGAAGACAACAACGCGCTGCCATGAGAGAAATGTGTGATTTATTGTCAAACTTCTACACCTTTCTAGTGCCCATACCCTTCACTTCCAACACCCGCACCAGCCAGAATTTGGCATATGTAGAAACTATTGATAAGAAAAACTAGGTATTCCCTCCAGACACAAAAAAAAATAAAAAAAAATAAAAAGTACCTTGAATAAAAGTTCACCAAGATACTCCATTCACTGGATCAGAGATTGTGTCCTGTTTTGCATGTTACTTGCCATATATTAAATAAACCCAGGGTCTGATATTTAGACTTATTAAAGGACAGGGGTATTTATGAGAAAAGCATACATGGCTTGTTTAAAATATATTAAATTCTTATTTTTTCCTTTTTTTGTTTTGTATGAATGTACAGGCAAATTGTGCGGATGATAGAGATCAGTGGGTTCAGCTCCTGCAGGATGAGTGTTCTCATGCAACTTTTTCTCCATACCAGTGCACCAGCTACGACTCACTTAAGTATATACACACACACACACACACACACACACACGCACAGAGAGAGAGAGAGAGAGAGAGAGAGAGAGAGAGATGCTGTATGACAACATTCTATAACGTCCAATCATTAAAACACATTTTTCTATAACATCATGTTTTTCTTCTGTATTCTTATTTTCTGCAGTGTACTGAATTGCCATTTGCTTCCCAACTCAAACATGTACATAGAAGGCCCATTTCAGCAGCGGGGTGGCAGAATCCACTTGCAGCCCATCTATTCAAACTCATTCATACTGGAGGACATGATGCAATCTGGGAGGAATTGTGAAGGAAACCTTTGAAGAATATGTGAAGACAATACCCAGATTAAAAATGAGTATCAATTCACCATTAAATAATTTGGGCCAGAAATTCTCTTTATCTTTAAAAAGAAGATCAAATAAACATTTCAGTTTATTGATTACATAAATGTATTTTGTCAGCACAAGAGACAGCTTTCAAAAACAATAAAGTATTTTAAATTTCAAACATTTTGGCACATAGTCTATTACAGATTTTTTATTTTTTTGTATATATTAACACTCCATATAATTATACTCTATATACTCTACATACTATTATTACTCATGTAATATTGGTATTATATCAGCTCATACACTTTTTTCCCATATTTATACTTTTAGATTGTTTACATTGATTAAACAGTCATTTTAGGGGAGTACCCAAATCAGCACAAAAACTTGAATTCCTCTGTTCTATAATGACTATGAATGATTGGTAACACTTTTAAATAACTACACACTATGAATCATTTATTAGGTATTAGCAAATAAATGCTAATAAATTATTTGTTAAGCATTAACTCTACATTAAAGAAGGTTACAGAAAAAAATTCTGCTGCTCTGAAAGTTCCAATGAGTACAGTGGCCTCTACCATCTGTAAGTGGAAGATGTTTGGAACCACCAGGACTATTCCTAGAGTTGGCCGGCTATCTAAGCTGAGTGATCGGGGGAGAAGGACTTAGTCATGGAGGTGGTCAAAAACCCGATGGTCACTCTGACTGAGCTCCAGCGTTCTTCTGTGGAGAGAGGAGAACTTTACAGAAGAACAAGCATCTGTGCAGCAATCCACCAATCAGGCTTGTATAGCAGACTTGCCAGAAGAAAGTCACTCCTTACCTAGAATTTGCCAAAAGGCGTCTGAAGTACTGTAAGAAACTAAATTCTCTGGTTTGATGAAACTAAAATAGAACTCTTTAGAGTGAATGCCAGGCGTTACGTTTGGAGAAAACCAGGCACCGCTCATCACCAGGCTAATACCATCTGTGGGGATGGTTTTCAACAGCAGGAACAGGAAGACTAGTCAGAATAGAGGGAAAGATGAAAGCAGCAATGTACAGAGGCATCCTGAGTGAAAACCAGCTTCAGAGTGCTCTTGACCTCAGACTGGGGCGACGGTTCATCTTCCAGCAGGACAATGACCTAAAACACACCGGCAAAATATCAATGGAGTGGCTTCACAACAACTCTGTGAATGTTCTTGAGTGGCCCAGCCAGAGCCCAGACCTAAACCCTATTGAACAACACTGGAGAGATTTGAAAATGGCTGTACAACAGATTCATGGATATGTTACCTGAAAGTGATGCACAGGATTCATAGTGTACTTTTTTTCTCAGCTCCAGACTGCTGTTGTGTTTTTCTGAGCATAGTAATATTCACATTCTACTAGTAGCCGCAAACATAAGTGGGCCAGGGAAAAAAAAGTTATGTGACATGTTTTTTGCGTTTGCCATAAAATGCAGTTTTAAAATGTATTTATCAATATATTTTTATATTCACTCAGTTTTAGTTAATATTATTAAATAAAAATTAATAATAATGAATTTTTGAGCAACCAAGCAGTGGTACTTCTCGTACAAAAGGTTTTTGAGACACTTCCTGTTTGATTTTCATTTTTATATACATGATTATGCCATCGTACTGTTGTATAAACGCAATTTCACACTTTTAGCAGTGCGATATGGCTATATATCAACATGGGTGGGGTACATCGCTGAGTTCACTGCATGATTTTAGCCCCGATTTTGACTTAATGACAGGCTTTAAGAAATCGCCAACAAATGCCTGAAATCAAATGCACACGAATAACAATAACACAGATTGTTAGAGAATCGCAGATGAGTCGCGGACAGTCATCAAATTTTTGGCATGCTAAATATCTGGATCTGTTTTCTGATTGAAAATAACATTGGTGATTACCAACAGCCAATGAGAGCAGCATGCACTAGTATGGGTATCTGAAGGCCAGTGAGAGATTAAGGGAGAAGTTAAGGGCTTCTTTTCAGTCTATTTGGAACCAACAAATGGATGAAAAATTTGTGGAAATTTGGCAGGAGCACCCGTGTCTATTTGATGGGTCATCTAGGCCAAGTGAGCAAAATAAGTACATTTTCTACCCCACTAAATGTTTCTTTCTCATTTTGTAGTTAATAACAATAAAATATACCATGTTGGTTTTAAGACATAGTTTGCTGCTCAAGACAAAGTTTTGAGCGATTCTTCCATATGTACAGTCAAGCAGTGTGAAACCCTGTCATCCACAGCATCAATGGAATGCTGACCCAGATAGTGATGCAGTGTAAAAACTTCTGTGACGTGACTACTTTAAAAATCATGCAGTCTGAACTCAGCATAAGGCACTTAGCTTGTGGTCTCAAACCAACGCACGGCTCTCACCAGTGCCGATATACAGCCATAATAGCCATAATTTATCATTTCTGTGGCTGTCACTAATAACACTCAGTGAAATATTTAATGTGTATATCACGGTAACTTTAGAATAGGGGGTCAAATTGTCTTCATTAGGACTGTATTAATGACATTTTAGCCCTAAATACAAGCTAATTCTTGCCAAAAATATGAATATCACTCAAGTGCTGTTATTAATGTGGACATAACATTAACTTTAGGACAAGAGGGTAAACTGTTGTTTATTACAATATTTTAGCTATCATTTCCCTATTTTATGTAATTGCAAAGTGGCAGCAATTAGGTATAATTAATAGCTTGTTTTTCAGTTCACTTTATAGACAACTAATAAAAGTATTAATATATGGCTTGTCAAATTGTAAATAAGCGTTCAAATAATTTTTCTATTTTTTCAGTTAATCATTATTTATGTATTATTATTCTTATTTATTGTTTATATTAGATTAACTGAGCTTAACTAATGCATAATTTGGGACCCATCAAATTTTAAGTGAACCTTTAGTGTTTTTTGTTTTTAAATAATGGTTAATTGTAAACAAATTAAACATGGTTAACTAAAGCATTATTTTGGACCCTTGTGTTACCGACAAGGCATCCATAAATAATATATGGCTAATCAAATTGTAAATAATAGTTCAAATCCTTTTTCTATATGTTCATTTAATCATGAATTATGTGTTTGCTCATGCTTAACTGATGCATAATTGTGAGCAAGTTAATCATTAAGTTTGCAGTTCGTTCCGCTGTGGCGACTTTTGATTAATAAAGGGACTAAACTGAAAAAATATATAATGAATAAATGACAGTTAATTGAGATATACAAGTTTAACAACTAATGCGATGTTTGGAAACCTTAAAATATTAAGTAAACTCTTAATTACTAGTGTATTTGTTCTTAATCATTGGTTTATTGTGAACAAATTAACCCTTCATTAATGCTTAACTAGTACATTATTTTGAACCCTTAATCTAAAGTGTTACCAGTGCATCCCTGTTTCAGGGCATCACTATACAATCAACAAGATCAGAAAAAAATCTGTTCTTTCTACTGCAGAACCTCTTCACAAACCCACACTGGCAACTCTTAACCATGTGAGAGACATCTTGAGCTGTCTTAAATAGCTGGGAGAGTAAGGCCCAATCCCAATTTTATTGCTGTACCCCTACCCCATGGCCCTGAAAACAGAGTGTGATGGGGCAGGGCTTCAAAATTTACCCCTAAGAAGTGGGACAGCCGTACAGCACCTGCACATGTCATTGCGATGTCGACAATTGCGACTGCTGTAGTTATTCTAGTTGTGTTTTTTTTTTGGTATTTATCTTCTAGAAATCACTAAAGGCCTATATTATGTTATGATAACAATCTAATGTGGCAATAAGATTGTACTATACTGTGCATTTACACTGTGGCCATATTCATCTATGTAAACACATCAAAAACAACATTAACATTAAACCATACACTGTAAAAAGGTCATTCTCAGCCACTAGACCTCTCTGACAGGGTATTCAAGTGTTATCGAGAGTCAGAATGTTGTGGGACTGCATTACAAAAGTTATTATCATGGATTATAGATAGCAAATTTAGCAAATTTAAAATTTTATTTTAGCATTTTTTTAAAAGCATGATGGTAAAACACAAACTCAGTTATGAATATTTTAAAACATATGTGTGTTTGTAATAATGACAAAAAATACAAATTTGTGGATCTCCTTACTGCTGGGGGCAGCTATCCTGTTGTTGTGGATGGTGTATTCTGGTAAATTTTCTTACCCCTTGGTTTCGAGTGTGGTGCTGAAAAATTTACATTCTAAGGCGTATCTACCCCTTCCCCTTAGCCCTACGCCTTCAAGCTAAAGAGAATTAGGACACCCCTGTCCCTTCACAGGAACGCGCAAAATGAGGGGTAGGGGTAAGGGGAAGTGCTAAGGGGTAGAATTGGCCTAAGAGTAATACTTAGCTTTAAGAAATTTGATAACTTGCTCTATACTTATATTTGTAAGTAGGAAAAAATTTCACTGATTCTAATTTAATCATTAGAATTGAGAAATTATAAATACATCTGATGAGATAGGAGTGTGAACTAAAATTCTCAGTTCCAAGAGCATGTCCAGGAAGCTCACTGGCCACTTAAACAGAAAATATCATCTACTCCTACGTACTATACTTTGGCTTAGTACCTGGTTTATTAGGGATCAACACAGCAGACAGAAAATCTCGCAAACAGAAATTCTTGGAACCCCGTTGACTGCTGGCCAGTCCATTTGCCACACAGAGTGATTTCAAGTAGCATGACACTGCACAGAGATTAAACCACATCAAAAGAATTGATTACATAGTTTGCCTTCCAATACGTTTATCTTTATTTTAAGCACCTAATTTGTAACAGCTGCAATGCAGTTTATCTGTAACAGACTTATTTTAATCAAACATAAATTTCAAATCATTTAGATTTCTTCATTATTATTATTATTACGTTAATTTCACTTTACATTTATGACAAGTTCTTAAATGATGTAGATAATCTTTACTTTTATTTTACATAAAACACCAGGCCTTGCTTATATTAGTGCACAAACTTCTTTATTCCTCATGGCTGCCAGGAAATTACTTCGATGGTAGTGGAGGCAGCTTCTTGAATGAGGTAATTAGGATCTGTGAGTCTGGTCTTCAGCAGAGGTACATGCTGCCGCAGATGTGCTCGGGCTCTGGGAACTTCTGCCAGAACTGTAAGGGCACGGAGGGCGTTAGCACACACT